GGTCTATTGTTCTGATCGATCGAGCTTGAGATACTGATATAGGCTAAGTACACGTGATGCCAAGATATACGCCAAGGCTCATATCCAGCTTACACCATCGAACCTCGCCGGGCCTTATGAAAGCCGACAACCAAATGAAGAATATGAAGATGAAAACAGCTGGATTGATCCGCTGATGCGAAGAAAAGAACCGCTTAAATGAATAGTATGTTTGTTAATGGGTTTGCCCAAACTCACTGTAAATGAGATCGAAGTTTCCACAACAGCGGTCACCCATGAATCAACACCGATCGGTCACGCAGGCAAACGACCGTCAGCCTATAATGGTATGTCATAACGAGCTCTCTCATACTCGGCCTAGCTCCTGATCCCTTTCCGTTATACGAACAGTGAAGCTCGTCGTAGGGATATACCACCGCGCCACAATTATCTGGTCCAGCAACGCTCTGAATAGGCGGCTTGCTGAACAGATGGTGGAGAAGATAAAATTTGTAACTTGGTTCCTAGCAAGCTCGGTGGGCACAAACAACTGCTGTTTAGCACAGCAACTACGGGGTGTGGATTGGCAACATCGGCAATCTAGACTATCTTCTAAGAGCCAGGAGCTTTATAAAAGCTGTAGTTGTGAACCTGCGGATCCGAAAAGTGTCAAAAAATATGGCCAAGAACTCACAGCTAATGACTGAAAATGGGGCAGCTCTCAAACGCCGCGCTACAAAGGCTACAGGTTCCGACTCGAAGCTTACACAAAAGGATTGGGAGATATGGCTGAAATGGCTCACTCCTGAGCGCGAGAGCCTCCTGATTCACGACAGGGTCTCGTGTCGCTTTCCAGATGTACCCATGCACGATTTTGCAAGTGCAAATGGGGATGTGCAGTGGAACGAGTTGGCTGAGAGAGTACAAGATATCAACTCACTTCGACTGTTCGGGGTGGGAACTGGTGATGGTGATAGACAAGATGAGTTGACCAGTATTTTCCCAAAAGTTCTCCAAGAGTACCGAACCGGTGACCTACGCCAGCGCCCAAACAAGTCCCTCATGGCATCACGAGCGGCCCCGATAATCGCTGTCATCGCCGTGGCTTTGAACAATTGTGCCACCTGAGAACATTCTCTATGTAAGTGATCTCCCATGGTGCATGTCAAACACTTAAACTGATGGGATAGATCGATTTCTATGGATTCAAGGCTCCGCCGCCTCAATCTACATTGCTTGTCGGGCATGGTCAAGGGAAGAAATGCAGAGATGGACTAACCTCAGCCCAGCACAGCGGGCCCTCGCGTGCACTTTGTGGAACGACTCCGATATTGGAGATAGGTGAGACGTTATCCCTTCCTAGGTGGGCGGTTGACTAAATACCGAACAGTGCTCATGCAATGGCTTTCCCATACGATGCCTACAGGAATGTCCATAGGGAGGGTCTGGAGAGAAAGCCATACATATACTAGGCGGACGCTGGAACTAATCCTCCTCAGAATCGACTCTTCACTTTCGATGGCCAGGATACTTACCAAGCGGTTACCAGCCAGGAGTTGTTTTACCATGTTATCAGCACCTTTGCGAATCATAAAGCAACAACTTGGAGCTCTTTGCGGGAAGTGGCGAAGGCGAGTATTTGCGATTATGGAAGAAACCTTAGCAAAGAGTATGAGGGAAAGTGGTGGCATAGTGTTAAGGGGCGTCTCACAGATATTAAGTCTACTGGCACTATCAATGCGCAAGGGGGTAGTGGAGCGGAATCGGAGTACTCCGCGGATGCTTGAGGCCGTGGAATCAATTATTCCCATCGAAAGCGCGTATACGATTTGGAAACCATTTAGATATGCAGAGATCCAAGGCGGAGGTTGCTAGAGAAGGGATGGACGGGTTGTAGAAGACGCCAGTAGAGAGAGCTTGCTACGATTATCTTAACATTCAAATCACTGAGAAACTGTCTTCTTGGGCTCCGCCCCAAACCCGAGATCAATCCACCACCCCAGTGCTAACTTTATCCCATGTCCGACTATTGCGCTCACTTGCTGGTGTCCAACAAACCCAATTCTTTGACAAGAACATCTGTGTCACCTCTTAGTCGTAGCTCATATGTGATGTGACATGATACTTACTGCGGAAATCGACCAATGCCCTCTCCGGCGAGTGGTCATTGGCCTGACGCTGACGTGCGAGCTCATCTCTCTGTTGTTTCATTGAAGCTAACCATTCCTCAGGGCTCTCAGACTCGGCTTCTGCATCGGCTTCTGTATCGGCCTCCTGCCTTGCGATGGCAAGATCCAGATGACATAACTCTTCCCCTAAGGCTCGTAACTCTGCAATTGCTGGGTTCATAAGCACTCTCAACATGTGTGCACCTGTCAGTAGGAACTCGTTGCGTGCTGCGTGCTCATCATTGCCGGTCGTTGGTATCACCAAATCATCTTAGGATTGTTAGCAAATAGTAGCTACTGCACAGTATTAGTCGTATAAGCTTACCAGGGCGACAATTTCCACCAGTGACCTCTCGGTATACCGCATTTGCTGCATCAATGATATCTGGACTTAGGTGTTGTAAACTTCGTAGAAAGGAAACCCACGTTCCTCGAAGGCGGAACCGATCGGTGGGCAATGCAGTCAAGGTCTCATGTAGCTTCGTGATTCGATCGTGCTTCTCTCTGTCTTTAGAGGACCATGAGAGCATCGACCTCGCAGGCTCAACCCACGGCTCCTCCGCAATAATGCCTGGCCTGACCTCTGGGACGATTTGCTGGAACTATATTTGACCATTAGTATCCTACTCTTTAAATAGCTAGAGTTCCGTTCTGCTGACCCATTCTAGCATCTTCCCATTCCACCAATATTGACGTAGAATCTCTAAGATTGCTTCTGATCGCACCGATACATCCACGTCCCACCCGCGAATGTTTTGAAGAGTATTGAACAGCTTTATGCTATCAGATAATGGATATGTGTATGCCATAACGTTGCCTAACTGCTTTTTAACAATAAAAGACAGGTCTAATCTATGTGTTGAAGTATACTTTCGATAGCATTTTCTTGTAGAAAACTGTTTGACAAACAGCAATTGAATTATGTGGTTTTCCCAAATGAAAAGTATAATTTGATCATGTTTGCAAAATGTACGCTTCTTACAAAACAAAAGTTGAAGAATGCAAAAATAAATTGTCGACAATGACAGGGCTCGAACCTGTGCGGCCGAAGCCATATGATGTCTACTGCTATGAAAGCAGATTCGAGTCATACCCATTAACCACTCTGGCACATTGTCGATGAGAAAGAATATGATAAAACTGTCGAAGCTAAATTAATATAGTAGTTGAAATTGTGCGATCGTTTTCCACTAGTGCACAGAAGTTTCTAAAGCTAGGCTGCCTACATCACCCCACCAAGACACGTCCAAGCACAGCATTTTTTCCCGGGCAGGCAACTTTTCCCGCTCTCTGAACATTAACGAAGCACGCTCTGCCCAGATGTAATATCCTATGGGCCCAGTTACGCGCTCAAGGTCACTGGCTTGGAGCAAGTATTTGTTATGTTTACATAGACTGTAAAAAGAAATTTTCCGTTTCCTTCATAGTTGGACAAACGTGTTCCCGCTGCATAACAAAATTGTTCTTACTGATGCCTCATGCGCACAAAAGCTTCTGTCACCACGCAACCAAGCATAGTCGCGACTGTTTGTATAACCTTCACATTCAAGTATCTGCCATAGAAATCAAATTCTAGCTATCTTGGACCTGGAACTGTGATGCAAAAGCGGTGGATTTCTCTGCGCACGTATCACGATCAAGCAAGGTATTGGTCAATGCGAAAAGCCACCCAGGTAGTGCATCGTGCTAACAGCTCTAGAGGCTCGGGCGACATGCTACGCGGGTGATACTGCTTGCCATTACTTCCGGAGGTTTAACTGAAATCCCCCCTGGGGGGTCCTTCATTAGGCCATATCCACCCCGCGTCAGTATGCGGAATGACCTTAGGTCGTATCTAGTCATTGACAGCTCTGGAGAATAAAGAATTGATAAAAATTTGACAGACATAAGTCCAGTTACTCAACGCTCTGTTCGATTTCCTTCACGTTACGATAAACATCGATTACTCCCATCTCCCTCTCCTTCTAGCGACTTCAGGTCAGATATCGTCTTCATGGCTGTTAGAGGCTCGGGCCTCAAGCTCTTGTGCTTCTATGATCCGCTGGTGAGTCTCCACCTTTGAATGTTCCTTAATGAGACGCTGATGCAGCTCTTGTAGGGTCGCGTGGTATCTATCTGGTATACGTTGATGCTTCCTCGGATACTGAAAGGGAGCAACACTGGCGAACTGTTTCAATAATTCCCATACATCCTCCCACTGAATCCCAGAGTTATCGAAGATGAGGGGCCCTGATGTTGAAACCGCGTAATCGGAAATGGCATGCCCGCTCTGGAGCAGCTCAGCGAGCAAGGGAACGCGATCTGTAAATTCTCCATGTCCCTTTGCCAAATTGGATTCATGTAGCGCCTGCTGTTTCGCAGTCAAAGCGATGTCATCAGACGGGACTATAAGGAGAGGGCTGTAGTAATCGCGGCCCTCTTGACCAAATATGTCAAAGACTAGGATCCAGTTCAAGGGACAGGAGTTTAATCGACGAATCTCTGCAGAGGTGAGGCTTGGTCCACGAAAAGTTCCCTCACGTTCACGCGAGTAAATCGAGCATGGTACAAGAGGGGTGTGTGCGCAGAGGCTGCTGATTGTGCGTGGGGGACGGCTAGAGACTAAGAATGCGTCCTGTTCTTCCTCTGTCCATCGGTAACGGCAGAAGCCAAAGTCGCCGGCTGGATGGCTACGCGATTGGACTACCAACAATCCTGACCGCTTCATGGTGCAATGAGTCATAATTGCGAGGAAGAATTTCTGGTGGAAGTTCTGGCCATTCTCTGTCAAGTGCCTAACCGGTAGAGAACCGATTTTAACAGTTTCGCCATTGTCGTTGCTAACAGTAGAGGCATCGCCATCCACCAGGCGCACGGGCCGAGGACCAGTTCCCCTTGGATGGGGGTCTTTTTGGACAATTTCGTTTATCCCCTTAACCCATTGCCCTGCGTTATCGACCAAAATCCGATAGGGCTGAAATGCGGGGATGCTGAAGTCCGCCTCAATGTCCGTCGTGTTATAGAAACTATCGGGGAGCACCTTCTCTGGTAGGAAGAAGAACTCGGTGGAAGGAGTGCCCTCGGAGCGATTGAGGTATTCGAACTGATAAAGCAGGTAATCAAACCTTCACGCATGCTGATCAGCCCTGTGTCACGAACCACCATCATCTAGAGAGCCTTACCGGTCATGAGCAGAGAAATACCACGTGTATTTTCCACGCGCGGAGCCTCGCGCAATTGAAACGTGGGTTAGAGTGTTTTCTTGTGCCCGGTCATGGCCATCAATTTTGTACTGCACAAAGACTTGACGATATTGTTGAAGTTGGCCCTGGAACACGAGGAGCTTAAAGTCAGCTAGTCGAGGCTGCATGAAGACAAAATCGAACTCTATTGGTATTCGGAGTATTGCCTGTGCGTTTCAAATTGCTTTCCAAATCTTTAAGATGCCCACGTATGAAGTGAAATGCTGCGAATCATGCTTGGGAGTCAATGTCTCGTTAGATTGGACAGCGAGCGGCTTCCATTCGGGGAACTCAACTCGCGTCCACGGGTTTGTGTAGTGTAAGCTTGGTGGTGGTGCAGGTTGAGGTTGAAGGAATTGGTCTATTGTTCTGATCGATCGAGCTTGAGATACTGATATAGGCTAAGTACACGT